CTTTATAGAGGATGTATTTTAATTTAGCATTCAATTCAACTGTCTTCCTAGATTCTATCTGCTATCATTGGGGTGGGGGGTAAATAACACAGAGATGTACTTTGAGCTGTTATCTTACATTAGGTCGAGTTGCAAAATTCCAGATAATTTCTTGACAGCAGCAGAAACCTGGAACTCTCTGTATCTCTTCATGCCACTGTAGTTGCTATCCATACTCTTGCTATGGTATGTCTGGAGTATTAATGTTTTAACTTTTAAATGTATTGGTTAAGTTTAGATCTCACATTACCTTCAAGAGGGCAAGGTGGCATAGAGATCCCAACATCCTGCCATTTTTCTCTCTAAAACAACTCTGTGAAGATGGTTGAGCTGAGAAAGAATGATTGGTCCAACATCATCCAGAAAATTCAGGGTGACCTCAGGGTGATTCCCAGTCAAGTCCTTTCGCTAATAACACACAGCAACTATACCTGCTAAGACAATACTGCGTAAACCAAATCAAAAGTGAACGTTCAGCGTGAGTGTGAGTGCTAAACAACTATAGTGGAAGCATAGTGCAATATCTGATATTGTAGTTGAGGGATGCACCTGTAATTCAAGAATCTACACTGTTTGATGATCTTCAGGAAATAGCAATTCATTTATATTGTTCTGGTGTTGTGCTGATATGTATTGGATTTGTAGCATCATACAGAAGTTGAGTTACAGTTTTAAGCATGATACCAGCCAATTGGCATGTTGCTGTTCCGAGAGCCTAGTGATATAATTAAATAATGATAAAAAGTAAGGCTCTTATTCAATTACTTTGACATTTAGCTGTTCTTTGCAACTAATGGGATTAAGTTCATTATAAAGAGATTAAGTGTAGAATAAAAGCTGGGCACATCAGGAGAAGATTTTGCCTTGCAATCTTTTAAAGCTTTCAGACTTTTTTTTTACCATTGTCTGTGTCACTCTGAAAGTAAGGCAGACGAGATACATTTAGTTCTTGAAATCACAACACATTTTTCTTTGTTCGTTCCTTTGAGAAATGTCAGTGTTTTTTCATTGTATTAGTGCTGTAGTAAAAGGTTCTGATTGCTCAGTAGTTGGAATTTCATTGTGGGAAAAAAGCCTCAGTGTGTTTATACCTCTGACTAAATATAGAGTTTTGCCAAAAGGACAATTGCAACCCTATGGCTGATTCATTTGCTCAGTTAATGAAATCTGTTGGTTGAGTATAATTACGGAGTGAGGGTTCCCCCCCCCCTTAACTGTCATAGACTTTTATTATAGATATTCATTTTGAAGTATGGGATTTTCATATTTTGCTCATCAGTTTGGATGCTTGAGGCTGTGTTTGAACAACAGCTCATCAAAGCTCTGTGTTGCAGGACGTAAAGCAATTATATAAAGAGCATTTATGGAGAGCCTTTCCCTGATCCTTGAGTAACCACAATTAGCTCTCATAGAACTTTGAATTGAGGGTAAAAATTCAAGTCACAGTGCATGACTTGTCAAAGACTTAAATACTGGCACCGGTATTTTACAAATGAATCATTTCAAACAGAGTATCAGCTCAGAAGCTATTTATGCTCTGAATGAGATGATAGGACTTGTTTCTACCGCAAATGCTCTCATCTAGCAAAATGGATTGCTTCCATTTTATAACTGGTCTACTAACATAGACAGGAAAAAATGTGAGTCATCTAGCCAGGTAGTTCAAACTGTCAGCTTATTGGTATGTCTTTTAGATGGCTATATATAGTCAGTAAAATCACTCTCAATGTAGCAAAGTGTATTTAAAAAAACAAAACAATTGTAGAGCACATAGAATTTCAATTCAGGTGAGAATTATCCTGTAATGGGGGACCACAAGTTGCCACTATAGTTATAAACGTTCATTGTTTTATTAATATGTATTAATATTTAAAAACTTTTGTAAATTACAGATAAAGACACAAATGTTTCTCTTGCATTTTAAAATGTTGGAGAAAAATTGATTTTGGTAAAGATGCTTTGTGCAGTAGATATGTTAAAGTCTTTGTCTTGTTGTCCCAAAGATGCTTTTTCAAAAGCAACTGGACTTTGTTTTTTCCTTGAAGATGTTTTGCTTATCTGTGCCCTCAGGGTCACCTGAATAGTGCAAATGGATGTGAAGCTTTCTTGGAAAAGTGGAAAGGATTGTGTTGTAAAGGAGAGATAGTTTACTTTACTTTACTTTAATAAGATTTGTATGCCGCTCACTCCCTAGGGACTCTGGGCGGCTCACAACAAGGTAAAAAACATTTGAAATATATAAAAGAT